TATTTTTACGTGAACACGACGTATACACCTGCTGGTTTCTGAGGGCGAGGCAACAGAATCTGTCCATGAGGTCTGCTGTGAAACTGTAAGAAAGAAAGAAAGAAAGAAAGAAAGAAAGAAAGAAAGAAAGAGGAAGATCCTTGGTTCAGAGGAGTCTGTTTCTGCTATCAAAGGCCAGGTCACCCTTAGAAAGAGTGTAGGAAACAACAACAACAACCACAACAACAGAAACACACAAAAAGACAGAAATTGGATTTACAAAGAGAAAACAGACAGAAGCGAACCTAGGGATGCTCCGAGGACTGTGAGGGGGTATCTCCCTGCTCCTCACTCACACTGCTTTTGGGAAAATGGAAATGATCCTAAGAGGTGAAGGTACTGAAGCTCTCGGAGACGCCAATTGACTGGGGCTACTTTACCCGTTCTTAACCCTACCCACCTAAGTCTCCCTCTCCCTGGGAGTCAAGCTTGTGTGCCAACAGTCGTAGGAGGGGGTATCTACCCAACGGAGGGCTGTTTTAAAATCAGAATCTGTCTGCTTTCAACGAGGAAATGGGACAGGGGCAACCTATATTTTCCTGGTCAAATTGGCCCCAATTCACCTGATAGGGAGAGAGAGGTTTGTCTTTGTCTGTCTGTCTGTCTGTCTGTCTGTCTGTGTTTGTCTTTAAGCCAGTGATACCAACATATGTTGGTTGTTGCTTTTTGTAGAAGGGTGATGTGTATGTAGACCTCAATGAGCCAGAGAAAGAAAGAAAGAAAGAAAGAAAGAAAGAAAGAAAGAAAGAGAAAAAGAAAGAGAAAGAAAGAAAGAAAGAAAGAAAGGAAGGAAGAAAGAAAGAAAGAAAGAAAGAAAGAAAGAAAGAAAGAAAGAAAGAAAGAAAGAAAGAAAGAAAGAGGAAGGTCCTGGGTTCAGTCCTGACTATGACTTTCTGGGGCCAGGCACGGCACCGCACACCCAGTCGGTCACTGCCAGTGATGTGGTTTGTGGTTTCCAGCCAGAAACCCCTCTGTGGTCCACTTCAGTCCACCTAATACCTTTCCTGGCTGGGGAGAGTTCCTATGGATCACAAGGACAAACCCAAAGGAGGACAAAGTTCAGAATGCCTAATTTATGTCTGCCCATTTCTACACGACACAGCCGTCCCTAGTGTCCAAGTGACTTGACCTACATTTTTTATGTCTGAGAAAGAAGTTTCCATCTGAGGTACAGGTACTGCTTTGTGTTATTTATAAATGATGTGTCTCCATTCAAAGTGCTAGTATGGCGATCCACTGCCTTCCATTTACAGCCCTCTGCCTGCCGACTGCGCAAGCGCTGTCCCTGAGTTGGCTCTGCCCTGTGACGACAACGAACCAACCCGGCTCTCTGGTCGACCACGCTTGAGGCTTACAAAAGCGGTCGCCAGGAAGGTAGCGCATGACAAGGACAGGTTGCATCGTCATCACGTCATCACCAGGGTGGTGGGGACGCAGGGTCAGCCACTGGGGGTGGGGATGGGGGCTTTGAAAGCTTCTCTCTCTCTCTCTCTCTCTCTCTCTCTCTCTCTCTCTCTCTCTCTCCTAGCAGTCAAGAAGGACGGACACTCCCAAGATGGGGATGAAGGACTGTCAGGTAGACTTTGAAATTTCCTCCGCTCGCGAATAAGGGGCGATTTAGGAATTTTCTTTCAGTGACCACGCCCCGCACTGTGTTGCCCCCGCCAATGCCGCCTGAAAACATCACTAAAGGGTTGAAGGGTTGATAGTAATAGAAACAGGAAGGGTAAGCATTGCAACGTGTTTTCTGGGGTTTTGTTTGTTTGAGAGACCTATAAATGTATAACGCTGTGAAAAGTCTTATGTTCCTGAATAACTTTAGTATTTTGGTCAAAGGAATTTGGATGATTTTCCTGGCTGCAAGCGGGTTAATTCCTCAACACCAGGCTGACAGGCATGTGCTAGGAGGCCCCAGCAGCTCTGTTCCTCTGCTGTGTGGACAAGCCCTTCTGGAACTGGGGGCCCTGCCTTGTGCCCTGAACCCCTACTGGCACAAGTCCTGAGACCTGTGGGTTCACCAGCAGCACCAGGAGGACCACTCACATCCAGGTTCAGAGCCAGCAGCAAGTCCCCTTCACATCAGGGGTTAGTGGACCACATAGAAAGTAGCATTGGATCCACCCACTGAGCAGCCACAATGAGGTCAGAGATGCCCAGGGAGAAGGAAAAACCTGGAGGGAGTGATATAATGGTGCTGAGCCCTACAGCCCAACTGCATCCCAGCAGCTCCAGTGTCTGATCCTGACCCCTCCACACCTTTTTTCATCAGGAACTGAGGTGTAAAGTGGGGGAGACCGTTTATTACATGACGGAGGACCAGAGGGTGGCCTTTGAAATTGTCTTTGTTTCTGAACATTCCTTTACAACCTGCCACCCTAGGATTAACTCCCACAGATGCACCTCGAGCCTAAATCCCCACCCCCTCCTCAAGGAGATCAGATTCATGTTTCTGGTTGTAGACACTTTGTGTTTAGATCCCATGAACTCCCCAACCTTTGTCCCTGCAATCCTGTACCCGGGCTGGGTCCGTCCCTTTCCTCATTCACACTGAGCATGAACATGAAACATGAGTGGCCCCGCATACTGCACCCCAATCCGAGGTTTCAGGTTCCAGGGTCCTAGAAGGAAGCCCTTGTTAGGTGCACCTGGGGAGCTGGGTCACTAGAGGGGCACATCACAGGCTCCATGTCATGAAAATGCCACGTCATAAACCTCCCAAGAGCTATAGACTTGGTGACAAGACGGATGGTCCTGGGTTGTCCTAACTCCCTCAGTGTCCCCGTGAGCTCAGCCTGAATCAGGGCAACTCTCTCCTGGTCCACAGTCTGGTGGGTCCTGTAACACTCCAGGGGGATGGGGTACATTTCGAGCTCTAAACTGTGCAGCCCAGCTGTGTGGCACAGCAGCTTATCCATGGTGGCCATGGAGAGGTGGTTCTCAGAGATGGTGAAGCCCCTGAGCTGGTGACAGCAGCTCAGGACAGGCAGGATGGCCTCGACTTGGGAGTCCACCATCCCACAGTTATCCAGGCACAGATCCTGGAGGTTGGGTGCCACTGCCTCCAGCAGAGCTTGAAGGGGCTCGGGACTAAAATCAGTGAGGTTGGTGCTATACAGACCCAGGGACTTCAGCTGCATGAGGTTCGGGCACTGGACCAGGTGTGTCAGGTCTGAGTGTGTCAGCTGTGAGCAAAACCATATGGAGAGTTTGTCCAAGGGGGTCTGCAGCCACCTGGGAAGAGATGGAGCGATTAGTTCCTGGGGACAGCAGTGGTAAAAAGAGGGGGGCTTACAGGTGGAGGAAGACCGATTTATGCAAGCCCAGGGCTGTCCTGACAATCTGATGAAGGCCAGCACCCAGGACACCCAGTCTCCTTTTAGGCTGGGTCACGTTCATGACATCTTCAGAGCTTCCTTTCCTTAGCTGCCAAGCAGAGCACTGCTCTCTGGAGGCGGACTGGACATAAGGAAAACCCTGGGAACCTGCTCAGAGAGCCTCACAGTGTCTAGGTCAAGGGTAGGCATCCGTGAATCTTAAATTTGGGAGTCAAAACCAAGAATGCTCTCAACTCAGGCTTCCTTTTGTCCATTGCTTGGTTCCAGGCACCAAACCTCTGGGCCACAGGAGGCTCTTTCATCTAATGCCTAAAAGGAACAAACCTGGCCCTATCTGGTTTGACTCAGTGGACACAGCTTTCGAATGTCTCAGTTTCAATTCATGGTCAAGGGCTCAGATCTCTCTTGCAGGCTCAATGCCCGGCCCAGGTTGGGGCATGTGCTGTAGCAACCAATACCTCTCTCATTGGTATTTGTCTCTCTCTCTCTCTTTTCCTCCATTTCACTCTTTAGAAATCAATGGAAAAATATATCCTCCGGTGAGGATTTAAGGAAAAGGGAGAGAGTGACCACAGGAAGAATCTGTGGCATCAGCTGGGAGGCCAGTCAGCAGAGTTGACTTTCACACAAACCACCTGCCACTCTTTGAAGTCCTTTCCCTCCCCCTCCCTTAGCTGCGGAATCCTGCCTTTCCTTCCTACTAATGACCTTCCTGGAGCCCGGGACCACCTCTGACAGATGGGGAAGCTGAGACAGGCTTACGTGTCAGCGGGCCCAGAGCTTCTGTCTGGAAATGCTCCATCCGATGTGGCTTTTCCTCCTCCCTTCCTCTTCCTAAGTCCTGGTCACTTAGACATCTCTCCCTAAGGAAGAATTCACAGACCCAGACTCGCTGGGTCACTCATTGGGCCAGTTCTGTTACCCATCCTGACAGACGGATTTTAAAACATGCTTTCTTTGGGTGTGCACAGGATGACACCATTCAAAGCACCAACAAGACCACTTCCTTGACACTCTGAAGCTGTGTTCACTGTTACACAGCTCACCTGTGCTTCTGGTTCAGACGGCCTCAGAGGAAGGAGGGAGAATCCATGTCGAGCTTCCGGAGGTGCCACAGCCTGAGCATCTGAGAGAGGAATTGGAGAAAAAATTGTTGCTCCTCCTCCTCCTGCCTTTCCCACTCCTGCTCCTCTTCCTCCTCCCACTCCAGCTCCTCCCTCTCCATCTCCTTATCCTCCTCCCATTTCTGCTCCTCTTTCTCCTGCTCCTGCTCTTCCCTCTACAACTCCTCTTCCTCCCCAAACTGCTGCTCTTCCTGTTATTCTTCCTCCCCCTCCTTCTCCTCTTACTCTGCATCGCTTCCTCCTCCTCCTCCTCCTCATCTTCCTCCTCCTTTTCCTCCTCCTCCTCCTCCTCCTCCTCCTCCTCCTCAGCCAACACATTGATGTAGGAGATAGAGAGACTCTGCAAGTTACTCATCTGACCCAGGAAGAGAGCAAACATCCCCAGGGTGGGCAGGTCCCAGGTAAAGTTCACTTCCACCTCCTGGATGCAGTCGAGCTGCACCCCATCCAGGACCCTCCTGACCCTCTGGAAGGGCACCTCAGAAATCCTCAGCGTCTTGCAGCACAGGTGTAGCAACCCTTCCCTCTGCTGGGCCTATTGGATGATGTGCATGAAAAACTTAACCCCATCCATTTCACTGAAGTTAAGGTCTAGGAACACCTCCAAGGGAGCCAAGGGGTGCTCCATGTTGGGGCTGGAGCTGTGCACAGCCACTGGTCCTGTCAATGAGCAATTCTGGGTGCTGTCTCCACACCACGTTCTCCAGAAGTTGGTACCTGAGGTCCGGGTCAAGCCCCATGGGAGGCGAGGGGGTGGGAGGGGCACAGCCTCAGGCCCCAGCTGTTTAGTATTGGGTGGATTAGCAGGTTAAACTCCACTCATTCTCTCCTCTTTTCCCCCAGAACTGTGGACCTGTTACCGAGTCAGTCCTTTCTGTTGCTCCCCATCAGGATATGATGTTTCTAGTGAATATGGCTGCAGACCAGACATTTTCCAATGGGCGTGGGTACCCCCAGGGCAGCCTGGGCTGGGAGCTGCTACCGACCGGACCGCCCCAGGGAAACCTCACTGAAGGACAGCAATGGGACTCTGAGAGGGCGCATGTGCTCTTCAGAGCCTTCCAACACTGGATGTATGTGGACCCCCTACTGAGCATGCACACAATGTCTGCTCCTCCATCACTGGCTGAGGGCAGATGTGCTCACCAAGAAGCAGAGCTTGGATAAGCTTCTGCTGGAGAAATTCATGACCTGCATGCCCCTGGAGCAGCAGGTCTTGGTGAAAGAGAGGCTTGTGCAGAGCTGTAAGGAACTGAATGTCCTGCTGAGAAATAAGGAGAAACCCAGGAAATGGGTGAGTGGGACCCTTATGATGGGCAGGGAAGAGGAAGGCCAGTAAATGTACACAGCGGCATTCTTTAATTTTCTGTGTTTTATTTTTTAAATATATTTGTGTTGATTTCAGAGAGGGAGGGAGAGATAGAGAGAGAGAGAAACATCAGTGATGAGAGAGAATCATGGATTAGCCCCTCCTTCATGCCCCTGCATAGAGGATCATGCCCACAACCCAGTGGTGTGCCCTGGCCAGTAATCAAATAATGACATCCTGGTCCAAAGGTTGATGCTCAGCCACTGAGCCATGGTGGCCAGGCCACATTAGCATTCCTGAGATGGACACCTTTGAACCTTTGATCTCCCGTCCTGGGGCTCACTTTCCCAATGACCTCAGAATAACCTCAGGGGGTAGACCTGTTGGTTCTGCCTCATGGGTGGGGAAACTGAAGCACAGACCAGGTGCAGGGATGGCGCCTTTCTCTCCAGGGAGCCTCTGCCAATGTTGGGAGACATGTTTGGTTGCCACCATTTGGGAGGTTGTTATTTGATTGATTGATTAAAACAGTTCTTTATTTAAAGAGAGAATGAGGAAGGGAGAGAGAGGCAAACATCCATGTGTTGTTCCACTGAAAGTGTGAGTGTTGAGTAGGACACACGTAAGGAGTATGATACATCCCCGGTCTTGTTTAATTTTCTCCCCAAAGAAGGTCGTCACCTTGCAAGAGCAGAAGTATCTTCAGGAGAATTCCTATGTCCAGGTGGCCACAGACAAAGTTGGTGCCACAGACCACGTGTTGGACTTATCCCTAAAGTCCCGATCCCCCATAGGTGAGACGGGGTACATCCTGAGAACAGCCAGGAGGTCCATGGAGAGCCGGGGAACCAGCCAGGAACCAGTGACATGGTGTGATGCCCTGTTCTGTGGGGACAGGTGGGAGCCAGTACAAGGGGAATCGGTGACCATAGCTGCTACAGCATTTGGGACATTTGACACAGGATAGAAATGGACCCATGAATGCATCCAAAGGATGCATTAACCCCATGGGCATTTCTGAACCAATGTGGTCCACAGGCCAATCAAAATCTAATTTTCCTCTAGGCATTATCAAGAGTGGGGAGAGTGGGGTCCAGAATCGCTTTGCCTCCACAATTGGAAGCAGCGAGCAGTTGAGATGACCAAGAGAGGCAGCTTAGAGAATGAAGATTAAACACTGTTGCCCTGGCCAGTGATGGTTAGTGGTTGGAGCATCACACCCAGGACTGCAGGGCTGTGGGTTTGGTTTCCAGTTCAAGGGCACATACTTGAGTTGCAGGTTCCATTCCCTGCCCAGTTGGGGTGCTTGCAGCAGTTAACCAGTCAATTTTTCTCTCACATTGATGTTTCTCTTTGTCTCTCCTTCTGCACCTCTCTCTCTCTCTCTCTCTCTCTCTCTCTCTCTCTCTATTTCTCTCTTTCTCTCCCTCTCTCTTTCTCTCACTCTACTCTCTCTCCACCTCCCTTCCTGGCTCTCTAAAAATCAATGGAAAAAATATCCTGGGGTGAGGATTAACAGCAACAAGAAAAAGTGTTAGGAGTGTAATGTATGGGCTTGACGTAAAGGTGTGATGGGTACACATCATGACAGACTTGGGAGTTGGGGGAGATGGGGTAAGACTCAAGGAAGCCTAGGCAGAGCCACAATGTGCGCTGTAAGGTAATCTGGTGTCTCTGGTCAGGGAGATGGACAGGGCGGGGGAAGGAGGGACGGAGCTTCCCACCCCTGGCTTCAGACACTTGTGTTTTTTTTTTCAATTTTATTTTATTTTTTAAATAACTGCATCCTTTAATGGCAGTAATACAATTATTGGATAAAGAGACCACAGGAGAAAGGGCAGGTGACATTTCTGCAAGACAGATACAGCGTACAAAAAGGGAGTGGAATAGAGCCATGCAACGATCATTGTAAAAATACACTACGTTATATACATATTTGTACCATTAGCTTTAGTGTAAATAGTATTTACACTTTTGTTACAATCCTGGTAAGAGAACAAATTTTCAAAAGCTTGGCCTGATGGCAAATGAAAATTTGGGGTAAATTCATAGCCCCGTGAGGTTCTTAGGCTGAATATCCAAGGAGGGCTCCAGCTTCTAATTCATCCACAAATTTGTTTTAAAAAATTATTTAATTTGCTTTTACAGAAGAAAATTCTCTGAGAAGGAAACAAACCCACAGCCACACTGTGTATTCTTACTTATTGTACAAACACCACGGGCTGCGGCCCTCTGGTCAAGGCCCGACTTAGGCGCCTGCTTCATGGTCCAAAAAGTGTGGGCACTGGCAGGCTGTGCACGCCGGGCCGGGGTGGTGAGCCCTCTGGAGGGGGGGTGCCTGTGGTGGCGGCGGGGGTGTCAGCAGCCTTGGGCCAGGGCCGGTTGTAGTTGTTGTATCTGTCCCTAGCTGTGGTGGAGCCCCCGTCTGCACAGGCCTTCCTTGGTTCGGGCTGTTCCAGGGCAGACTTCCGGACAAATGGGGGCTCCTTGGCCTTGGCCACTGAGCTCTTGCCATTTCCCTCAGAGCCCTTGGGCTGGGCAGCCCCTTTCAGCAGCAGGCTCTGCAGCTTTACCACCTGCATTGGGAGTCCTGGGGTCATAGAGGTTGATGCCGCTCAGCACGCGGCTCTGCCAGCTCCCACTGCCCTGGCCCAGCCCACCAGCCGCCAGTACTCGGGGGTCATAGGGGGCGGTGGCTGGGGGAGAGGACTCCCCACTGGCGCTGGCAGCTGGAGAGGGCGCTTTGGCAGAGCCAAGCTTGGCAGCGAGGGAGGAAGCAGCAGAGTCTGCTGGTTTCTGGAGCCGAGGGTCAGTGGGTGTCTTCCACACCCGGGGATCGCTGGGCCTGTCGCTGGGACCGGGGGCAGCAGAGGGGCCAGTGGCACTGACAGTCTTGAGGATTTGAGAGAGGAGCTCGAAGTCAGGCAGGCTGGAGCCGGATGGGCCGGGGTCCGTGGAGGTGCCTGAGCGCTGTCGGGGGTTGGAGGGACCCACAGTGAAGGCCCGATGCAGCCTGGGGTCCAGGGCAGGCATGGACTGCAAGGCAGCTGGGACGGGGGGCACGATATCCTGCTTGGGGATGGGCAGGGGCATCAGGTCCTCGGGGTTCCACAGCAGGGTGCGGGCGAAGCTCGGCTTGCTCAGGGTCACATCCTTCTTGATGTGGCTGAACTGCTGCAGCTGCGACCGCGGGTCCCTCAGCGGGTGCCCGGGGAGGGGGTCCAGGGGAATGTTCACAGCCTTCTCCCACAGGGCCCGCTCCCCTTCCTCCTCTTCTGCAGGGGGTGGCCCAGACCCCTTGGAGCCGCTGGGGCCAGCGGGGCTGTAATAAAGGCTGCCTTCAGGCCTAGGGGCAGGCAGGGAGCGAGCCAGCTGAGTGTCAGAGGGCCCCGTGTCGCCGGGGCCTGACCCGCTGGAAGCCTCAGAATGGCGGGTGAGCCTGGGGTCCTGGCTGAGGCGGGGATCAGCCACCCGGCCTCCTGTGGGGTGTCCCTTCTGGAGGCGGGGATCCCCAAGCCCAAAGCTGCTCAGCTCCCCGACAGAAGCCTGGGGTTGGTTGGACATCTGCTGCCTCAGGGTCTTAAGGATGGAGGTGACGCTGTTCCCACCATCGTCCTCGTCACTTGAGTACCAGTTTCCAGTGTCACCCGAGTCCCCCATGAGTCCCGGCTCCATCTCCATGCCTTCCTGCTGCTGGTAAAAGTTTTCACAGAAGTGCTGGGCTGGTGGGAATGGGGGCATCATTCCAGAATGTGGGGAGTCTCCAGGGCCATAAGGCATCATTGGGGGGCCACCAGGTCCCATGGGTGGGCCAGGGTTGGTGCCAGGGCCCAGGGGCATGTCGGGGTGCATATCAGGGTGCATGTTGGGATGCATTTGGCCCCCCATTGGCCCCGGGGGCCTCATATTGGGCCCAGGGCCCATTGGCCCAGGGGGTCCTCCAGGTCCAGGGAAACTCACACCCAGCTTCTCAGCCAACTGTCCTGTGGGCCATACCATGATCTCAAACAAGGAGGGGATCTTCTTGTTGTACATGTCCTGCTGCTGCTGCTGCAGCTGCTCAGGGGACAGCCGCTCATGCACTGAGATGGGCATCTGCGGGGACCCAGGGGGCGGAGGAGGGGGTGGTGGTGGGGGGTCGCCCTGCATGGGCCTGCCCTTGAGAGAGGTTGGGGCAGGGGGGCCAGGGGGCCGAGGCGGGGTGGGCAGGAGGCCCACACCAGGGGGTGGTTTGGGCAGGGGGTTGATGCCCTGCTTCTTCAGTTCCTCAACTTCCTTCTCGTCCTCGGCGCCTGCTTCTGCATCCTCAGCCAACCTCTTATCCAAGATCTGTCTTGTCTCCTTGGTCAGAGGGTCGTGTGAAAACATGCAGTCGTCACCATTGATACAGGTCCCAGTCGTGTGGTACAACTTACACGGAAAATCACCGTGCATGTAGGGGCAGTTCTCGGCTTTGGCACAACACCTGGTGGTGTAAAACTTGCACAGTTCTCGCTTCTTTGGTAGCTCGATGTCATGGCTGAAGTTACAGTGGTCTCCCCGTGTGCACCGCCCCTCCACGAAGAATTTGCAGATGACTTTGCCTTTCTTGCCAGACTGTTGGTGGGGCCTGTCATGCTCACGGCTCCGGTAGCTTCCACCGCCATCGCCCATGTCTTCATCATAGAAGTCTTCATCATCGTTCATCCCGCCCTTGTTCATCCCTCCTCGGCTGCCACCTCGACCTCGGCCACGGGAACCCCGGACACGGCCTCGATTTAACCCTCGTCCTCGGCTATCTTTGGACCAGCGGTACTGGTTTAGCTCCTTGGAATAGTCGTCATAATCCTCGTCTCCCATTGGTTCCTCACTTTCTCCATAATCCATCTCATCTTCATAAAAGTCATCTTCGTCTTCTGAGTGGTCTCCCATGGAGCCTCTACCCCTGCCTCGGCCCCGAGACCCTCCGCGGCTTACTCGGCCCCGGTAGCCCCTGCCACGGCCTCGACTGCTGCCCTCCTTGGCACAGCGGTACTGGTTCAGCTCTTTGGTGAAGTAGGACTTCTTGGGCAGGGACGTGCTGTGTGACAGGGGGTACTGCTGGTGGGAGGGCATGTACGGGGGGCTGTAATCTGAGTCATCTGGGAAATCATCGCTGGAAGATGCATGGCTCCTGTGCTTAGATTTCCTGCTCTTTTTCCATCTTCTCTTCTCTTTCTCCCACTCTTTCTTCCGCTTCCGTTTCAGCTTCCTGTGAGAGTTTTCCTCGTCTGAATCGCTGTGGTGCTTCTCCCCTTTTTCTTTCCGGCTCCTCTCAGGGCCTCCAGGGGTATCCTGGGTCTCTTCTGCCCCATCATCCTCCAGTTCACCTTCTTCCAACTCACCATCTTCCCTGTTGTCAGGGAGCGGGATGCTGTGGAGGAGGTGCGGGGCGGGCGGGCAGGAGTCGGGGGAACAGCGAGGAAGCGAAGGCATTGATGGCGGTGGCGATTCTGATGGGGACTGCGGGGGGGTCACAGGCGCAGCCCCCATGGTTCCTAAAGCCAGAGGCCGGGACCTGGAGTTGGAAGTTTCTGGAAAATCTACACCTGTTGATTTTAATCCTATACATTCTATTCCAAATGTTAGGGCGTTTCTCATCTCCATTCCAAGGTTACTCTGTTGTTCTATTAAGCTACAAGGAAGTAACTGAAGGAGATTATCCTAAGTAAAGATTATGTAGTTTCAGCGTGATTGTTCCTAGTTAAAGTGATTAACTACCCGCCTGGCACTTAGTTAAGGGTTTTTTTGGATGTATTCCCTTCCTTAGTCCTGTTAATTTGTAACTCCAGGGAAAAAATCCCCACCAGGGGAAACTACCTTTTTCCGGGAGGTGGTTCTGTTTGAAACACACAGTGCTAAGTGGGGGAGAAAACATATGCCATATACGCCAGGTCCCTTGAGATATAAGCTGTGCAGATGTTTCTTCCCTGCAGCGACTGTGTCAACCAGCAAGGGTGAACCGGCTTCCGGCAAATTCCCCAATTTTTATATTTGAAATGACAGCACATGTAAATCAGCTGCCGCTTCTGGGATTAAGCTGTTTACGACTCGGAAGAAGACTTGTTTGTGACTTTGCCAACAGGTCAGTCGGGGGCGTAACCCTATATCGGCTCCCCACAGGTACAGGCAATGAAAAACCATGAACAACCTTTAAGAGGATGAGAAGAACCAGGCACAAGAAACACTCAAATGTGCCTGTAGTGATTTGGAGGGTATAGAGTTCCCATACCTAAGTTTTCTTCCTGATTCCACCAAAGTGTTTTTTTCCTCCCAAAGTGTTTAATACTCCTCACGTCAAGAGGTGGGGCTTATGGTTTCCTCTTCTTAAGCTACTGACTGCAGAGCTCGAGGACTCTGAGTCTCTGCTCTGGTGCCTGACGTTTTTATACACCTTCTCAAATGCTAACATCCAATCAGAAACCTCAGTCTCCACCCCTTAATCTCATTGGGATTCTTTCCTCTCTCCAGATTAATGGGTTGAGAGATGGTTTGGGAGGGGCAAGATTGAGGTCTGGCTCATTGATTCCTTCCACCCACACTGACTGTGGTTGACTGATGGCCCCCAGTTGTCATCCTCCATGTGAGACAGTGGAGGTGTAATGGTTTCCTGATGTTAAATAGGAAAAAACACAACCTGAGAGCATGGTTGCTGTGGGTCTTTGATCACATTAGACTAATCCAATTGTATTCACAGTTAAAACAGCCAACGCCCACAGCTGACACCTTTGGTGTCATCCCCAAAGAAAACAAATGAAATGTGTCCATGCATCAAGTGAGGTTTTATGTCAGGTGACATAGCAGATCATGAGCTCCACAGGGACCAAGGGGTGGGCAATTGAGCATGTGGGTGGACCTTCAGACCTTAAGGCTTCTCTGAGGAAGGACAGGTAAAAATCACCATGAGGGTCAGGGCTGGACAGGGTAGGGTGGCCATCCTAATTGAACCCTGTGAATGACCCAGAGCCATGTAACAGATGGGTGTTTTTTTCTTGGAGAAAAGAGAGATGGAAAGACTCTTCTCTGGGTGAATTTGGCATTTCAAAGGAGACAAGTTGGAGTAGAGACAGTGCCATCCTGGAGGGCAAAGGGAGAAATTCCACCTTCTGTCCCTCCCAGGAGAAAAGGGTGGGTCTCCTCTGGAAAAGATGAGATTAGATCCGCAACTTGGTGGAGAAGATTAAATCTAACAATGTGATTATAAGGAAAGAGGCCAGACCTGGGAGTTAGATATTTTCAATCCTGAAAGGCACTAAATGCAGGTGCATGGGCTCTTTAGGATCTCGGGGCCAGGGAGAGAAATAAACATGGGCGAATCAAACATTACCATGTCACAACATGGCAGCTGCCACCAGGAAACGTTTATCTCAGAGTCAGGATTCTTCCACAGAGAATACTTCCAAGACAGCAAATGTCTTTCCTCCCTACACCCTGTCTCCATGCCCCCGTTCCTGCCCTCTTGGCACCGCTTCACTTCACCACACCCCCAATGATCTCTCTTATGACCACCAGCCCCCAAAGTCTCCACTTCAGTAAGCCTATCCCTCAATATCACTCAGTTCTGTATTTATCTGACAGCCTTGTGGTCTGCTGGACCAGATGCTTTTTGAAGCCATTGAGCAATCATGGCTCCTTAGACATCTGTGGAATGAACAGGTGGCTCTTGGCAGTGTGAGGAAGGCCAGCTGCGGCCAGCCCACTGCTGCCACATGGAGCTCTTTTCCTGCACAGCCTTCCTGTAGGTCCCCATCCTTCTCCTGTCAGTCACTCACCCCACAGACAACCCTGAGCACCCAGTGTGTGTGCCAGGCTCTAACTCTGGGCAACTCTGAGTCACATAAAGAAGTCTGCGGCACTGAACACATTCTGGAGTGATGAGTGGAGGCCTCTGGTGATGCTCCTAGGGCAATGGAAATTAAAGAGAAAATAAACAAATGGGACTACATCAAAATAAAAAGCTTTTTCACAGCAAAGAAAACCATCAACAAAACAACAAGAAGACGCACTACATGGGAGAACATATTTGCCAATGATACCACTGATAAGGGTTTAATCTCCAACATTTACAGGGATCTCATGAAACTTAACAAAAGGAAGATAAACAATCCAATAAAAACATGGGCAACAGCCATAGACACTTTTCGAAAGAGGGCATCCAGAAGGCCGAAAGACATATGAAAACATGCTCAAAGTCACTAATTATACAAGAGATGCAAATCAAAACAACAATGCGTTATCATCTCACACCTGTCAGAATGGCTATCATCAACAAATCAAAAAACAACAAGTGTTGGAGAGGATGTGGAGAAAAAGGAACCCTTCTGCACTGCTGGTGGGAATGCAGATTGGTGCAGCCACTGTGGAGAACAGTGTGGAGTATCCTCAAAAAACTAAAAATGGAACTCTCATTTGACCCAGTGATCTCACTACTAGGAATATACCCCAAGAAACCAGAAATGCCAATTAGAAAGGATATTTGCACCCTGTGTTCATAGCAACACAATTCAAAATAGCTAAGATTTGGAAACAGCCTAAGTGCCCATCCTCAGATGAATGGATTGGAAAACTGTGTTACATCTGCACAATGGAATACTATGCTGAGGTAAAAAAGAAGGAACTCTTGCCTTTTGCAACAGCATGGATGGAACTGGAGAGCATTATGCTAAGTGAAACAAGCCAGTCAGAGAAAGATAAAGACCACATGATCTCACTCATTTGTGGATTATAGAGAACAACATAGACTGATGAAAAGGGACAGATCCAAAGACAGAGAAACAGTGACCAGGCTATCAATCCCCAGAAGGAAAGTAGGGGAGGGCAGGGGTAAGGGGAAGAGAGCAACCAAAGGACTTGTATACACGTATATAAGCCAAACCAAAGGACATGGACAACAGGGGGATAGGAGCATGAGTGTGCGGGGCAGGGGGTTGTTGGGGGTTAATGGGGGGTATGAGGACACATTTGCAATACCTTAACTAAAAAGAAAAGATTGGATTTTAAGAAATATTAGAATTCATAATACCACTAATATTTGATTATGTTAACAAAAATTTTGAATAAATGAAGGTATGATAAAAAATAGATAAAAATGATAAAGGAATTTTACTACTTTTAAAGACTGCATGTGGATATTGTTCTAAAAATGTTTAACTGTGTTAGGAGACACAAATCAAACATTTACACTGATTTTTAAAGATCAGTGATCAAAAATTCTTTCTTCTTTCAATACATTGAGAATAATGCCCTAGCTGGTTTTGCTCTGTGGATAGTGTGTCAGCCTGTGGACTGATGGGTTCTGGTTTGATTTCATTCCAGGGCGGGTACCTGGGTTGCAGGCTCCTGGACCTGGCCATGGGGGCTGATCACAGGTATGCGGGAGGGATCCAACTGAGGTATCTCTCTGACATCGGTGTTTCTGTATCGCCCTCTGCCTTCCACAATCAATGGAAAAATATGCTCCAGTGAGGGTAAAATAAATAAATATATAAATGAATAGATAGAGAAAATTACAGTAGTTCATATAGAAAAGTTAAAAAAACATTTAGAACAATAAAATCTTACTGGTACACAGATTATAGTTACTTTTTTTTCTTTTTTAAATAGGAAACACTTCAGAAATTAGCATGTCAATTCCCGGTCAGGGCACATACCCAGTTGTGAGGTCAATCTCCTATGTGGTGCATGCAAAAGGCAGCCAATCAATGATTTACTGTCATTGTTGATATTTTTATCTCTGTCTCCCTCCACCTTCCTCTATGAGATCAACAGAGATATTTTAAGAATTAGATTTTATTTTTTAGAGCAGTTTCACGTTCACAGCAAAATGGAGCACAAAGTAGACAGATCACCCCTAGACCACTGCACCTCCAACTCACAGCCTCCCCACAATCCACACCCCCACGTGATGAGGAGACATCCTAGATGTTCATCATCGGGCTCTCTGCTCCCAAATGCAAAGCTCTTTCTGTGAAGATAATGAACAGTTGTATCTGTGTGGGTCAGTGTGGCTCTCTCCTGGGCACCGAGCCTAGTGCCGAGGCCGCAGAGGCCCAGGAGGCGAACCCGGAGGGCCTGCCCTCGGTGTGGAGCGCGCTCAGCAGCTAGGAGAGCATCCAGGTGCTCTGGATCTCCGACATCAAGACCTGGAAGGACCCCTGCCAGCGAGGACTCTACGACGTGCTGGCCAAGCTGGCCCAGGAGCGGACGAGGGTGGGCCCGGCCTCTACAAGTTCACCTGCCCAACGGCCACAAGAACGCGCTGTACCACTCCGAGCAGTGCCTGGTGTCCCTGCACGGAGAGACAGGGGTCTGCTGGTGCGTGTACCCCTGCAAAGGGCAGAGGATCGTGGGGTCCAAGGATGTCATCGGGGACCCCAACTGCGATCAGTATTTCCCGAAAGCAGACGCAGCGTGACCGGCTCCTTCAGTGAAACGTTTAAGCGCACGGTGTGTTCCTGCTCCGACACACGCGCTCCGTGTGAGGGGTAAGGAGC